TGGACAGTGATCCTCAGAGCTTCCTGCACTGCAGCGGCTGCTTGAGCTCTGGGTCAGTGCCTAGGTCCCTGGGGCTATGGCATTCAGCCAGATGTGACTGACATCCCCTACCCTGGGACACTCGCTGACACCCCAGAGACTTCTCATCGGTGTCATCACACCCTCTGCAGGGTGACATGTCCTGCAGCACAGAGCGGAGGCACCAGTGATGCCCTCAGGGACCTCACAAGACGCAGGACTCCATGACGGGGATGCCCTGGGGGCTTGGGTGCTGGGTCCCACGGCTGAGCAGCACAAGCAGAGGTCACAGGCCCAGGTCCTTCGTGTCCCCTGCCCCTAATGTGGCCAGGGGATGATTTAATCTCACAGACCTACAGAGGTACAATCTGACAGGAGAGGAAAAGACTGCATTTCAGCTCAGCCAGAGCACACAAACAAATCTGGCTTCCACACTCTGTCTGCATGGGGCAATTCTGAGACATGAGTTGGTCTTAAAATCACCACAAGGAAAGCGGTTCGGTTCCCCTGAACTACTTTATGGACAGATGCAGATAAGAACCTCAGACTGGAAAGCACAGCACAGATTAATGATGCAGTAATAGGTTCCAGTACCTGAGATTGATTTCCTGTCTCCAAAATGATTGCACCTGAGGGCTCCGGACACAGCCTCACATTAAAGAATAATAATAAAGGAAGACATGCAGTTTTGGGGCAGTCCAGAGGGAATGGATGTTTTCTCACTTCTCCTTGGGCATAATTTGAAAACTTTGCAGTTGTTTCTTTTGCTTTTTGGGTCCTGATCACCCCCAGGCCTCTGCTCAGTGGCCTGGGGCACTGGAAGTGCGGCAGTTTTGGAACCAGTGCTGTTGGTCAGCATGGGCCTTGTGGGCCTGGGCCTGCCTTCCGTGCCCCTGAACAGGAAGATGCTTCCCCCCACCTCGCTGATTTCTCTGCTCGGCCTGAGCGATGCCCTGTCCAAGCAGGCTCAGGGGGTCAGTGGGGGGCGCATTTCCTTGGCTGCTGACCCTCAGCTGGTGAGGGAAGTGCAGACCAGTGCAGCCCTGTGGCTGGAAATGTTCAGTGAGCCCTCAGATGCTCTCGGGCTGCTCAGGACCCTCTGCTAGGCGACCCGCAGGTCACCTGAGCTCTCGCAGGACACTGGCTAGAGCACAAGCCGTGGGAGCTTTCAGATGCTCCCTGTGAGGTGTGGTAGAAAGACATGGCGACTGTCTAAAGTTTAACAGACTCAGTAAAAGACACATTGCCAGAGGCTACCCTCCAAATCTCCCCACACTTCAACACATCTGTCCCGTCCTCGCCACCTCCTGCAGCAGCTCTGGAGTCCTCTTTTCTGAGGGTATTTAGCAGCACTGTCCCGGCTGCCTTGGGATCTTGAGTGGATTTGAGATGCTTCCCTCTCACAGTCATTTTGGCTTTGGGAAGAGCTGAAGTCGCATGGTGCCAGATCCTGTGACTGAGGTGGATGAGGATGCAGCGCCCTGATTTTACAAGCCGCCTTTCCATTGGCTGGCGCTCAGCAGCAGCGGTCACAGTGGTTTTTTTAATCACTCCTAGCAAAGGCCCTTAGGAAGGAGAACTCCAGAGCTGCTGTAGGAAGTGGCCACACAATGGGATGAGCATGTCGGCACTGGTGGGAGGATTTTGAGGGAGTCACGGTGGTGTGCGTTTTACTGCAATGAGTGTTTCGTGATTTACATGTTGGTTGTATTTTGCTCACACTGGTGTGTCATCAGCCTTTTTCTCCAGCAGAGTCACAGCTCCCAGCCCCTGCATGGGCCTGACCTGCTGCTGGCCAGAATGAGGGTCTAAGTGCAAAGTGCAGTGTTGCGTGTATCGTTGGGGCCAGGTAGCTGCTCTGGCTGCCTGTGTGCAGCAGTGGACTTCAGTCTCCACTCACACCTCAGGGCCACTCTCAGTGCTGCCCCGACCCCACCTGATGTGGACACCGTCCCACTTGCCCCCAGTGCTGCCTGACACCTGTGTCTTGGTCTTGCCCTCCCCTAGGGTCAGCCCCACAGGACATCGAGAATCTCTGCCTGGGGTGGGAACCCCTGCCTCTCTCCACTCATGGTGCCACAGACAAAAGTTCACATGTGGGAGAGATAGGGGACGAAGAGCAACAGAACTCGTAGTCTCGCCTGTTACAGGGGAGAACCTGCACCAGTTGCTGCCAGAGGAGGAGATCTTCAAGTCAATCTGGAAATCCATTTACTGTTGGATGCTCCTTGAGACTGGTCTAAATCCACAGGCCATGTTAAACTGCAATCAGTGCCCTCTTTTTTTTTACTGGAGGATGAACCCAGGGCCTTTGCTGACCTATTCCCAGTCCTTTATTATTTTTATTCTTGAGACAGGGTCTCCCTAAAATTGCTAACTTTCCCAGGCTGTGTTCCCATCCTCCTGCCTCAGCCTCCAGCAGTGCTGGAGTCACAGGCGTGCATAGCATGCCTGATTATGATGCCATTCTAATGTGCAAGGTATAATTTATGATGAGGGGAGCAGGGCTTTAAGGAAAATCAGCAGAGAAAATTAAATCGCAGCTCTGGCAGTGCTCCTGCACACTTGGGCAGTGAAAGCAGCTTTCGGCCCCACAGGTACTTGGTACATGGCAGGAAACCCCACCTGGAGGTGGAGCCTGTGACTGGCTGCAGTGCAGCATCTGGGAGGGGAAGATGCAGCGGACGGTGGACAGGTGCCAGTGGGGATGGCAATGCGTGGCATGTGAGGCTGTTAGCACAGTCATCTCTGTCCCTGGCCCACCGCCCATGGCTAGATGGAGATGCCACCTGCTTCCCGGGCTCCTTTGTGCCTGGTGGTCCCACCCTAACCCTAGTGACCACTGACTGCCAGCCCAGCTGTCTCACCCATCCTCCCTTGGAGAACAGAGGGAATGGGGCCTCGTGCCCTGGCCTTCCCATGGGCTCCTTTCCTCAGGATCCCGGCCGGGTCCTGGGAGCCAGGCTGGTTTTTGTGTCCTGTCCCAGGGCCCAGCATGAGGCCCCTGATGGCTTCTCCTCCGGGAGGTCTGGCCTCCAGCTCTTGGTTTCAGGTGACCTTCAAGTTCAAAGTAAGCACAGTGCTTGTGAAACCTCCAGGTCCAGGTTATTTTCCTCACCGATGGGTTTCCCTAATGCCAGGGGAGAAGCTAGCATCACTCTTGGGGCGATGAGGGGGCCTGGCCTATGCTTTCCTCTACCTCCTCAGCTTCATCATAAGCTCTGCGCAGCAGGTCTGAGGCTCCGGGAGGCCCAACTTCCAGCCTCCACACGCCACAATGCATGCTCTGGAAGGACGACGGGGAGTACCGTGTGTCATCCTGTAAAACAGCCTTTTGCTTTCTAGGGAACCATCAGGGAGCCTTGTGATGTCCAAGGAGCTGGGAGTGGCTGTTCTCTGAGCCAGTGCTGAGAGCAGGGGTGAGGCAGGGCAGGGTGCGCCCTCTTGGAGGCTCCTGGCTGGAAGGTTCAAGGCTGTGCTCTCCTCTGACTCCTTTTGCATTCTCCTGAGGCCCCCAGCATTTTTTCACTGTGGCTTAATTCTCTGCTCATCCAAGGCATGAGCAGAGGCCTCGCCACCTTAAAGGCCTCGTGCTGCAGGAACATGGGATTCTGGAATCCTGTGCTAGGGTGAGTGAGACTAATTTCCCCAGGGGTCGGGGTCTTCAACCCATCTGGAGTCAGAGACTGATTCCGTAGAAGACAGTTTTTCTGTGGATTCCAAATGTGTGCTTTAGGGGACAGATTGTATGCACTCTACTTCTGTTAGTGTCACATAATAGACAGTGAAATGATTATGTAACACCCTGGTGTGGAGTCAGAGGGAATCTTGAACTTGTCTTCTGGCAACTAGATGGTCCCAGCAGGGCTGATGGGGCACGGTGACAGCTGAGAGATGCTGCTCATGTCCAGTCTACTCTGCAGTCTGTTCTGGTTGCTGTCACTGCCAAGAGCTCTGCTTCACAAAGTGAGGATTTTGGAAACAGAAGTGTCCTGGGCATTTCAGTGATATCATGGTGATCTTAGGGTGCTCTGTCTTGACTTTAACCCAGAATGTGTGGAGATTCGAACTTGTCTCAAACATGCTTCTCAGGGAATTGCCATTTGAGATCTCAGGTTTTTGACCCTCTTTAAGTATGGGCAAAGTTCATTCCTACTTATTCTCAAATGGGCTACGATAGATTCCTTCCGAGTTCGGGGGTTCTCTTGTGGTAGGAAGTAATGTTCAAACTCTCAGAAGCTAAGAAAGTGATCCTGCAGCAGCTGAGAGAAAGAAGGCCCTGACTCCTCAGTCCGTTTCAAAATCTCCCCTAATGTCTGAAACATTAAAAACCCTAATGTTCACCCATTGCCCCTCTAATCCCACTTTGGCTTTGAATGCAACCATTTTACCTGCTGACTTGAACACAGTTGTCATTCTCCTGAAGACTGAGATCACTGAGCAGGTTGAATATGTCACATGAGTAAGCAAGTTTTGTGACCCATTCTGTGTCACAGATGTGTGCTGCCAATGGTGACTGCTTTTATAAAACAAATGTCAGAGCAGCCCTTGTGACTAAGAACCTAGCCAGCGCTCTACTGTTAGAAAGCCATCTTGCTCCTGTGTATGAGAGAACACGCAAGCTCTGCCTCCACTTCCTCACAGAGCTACACAAACAGACACGAGTCAAGAGCATGCACTTTAATCACATTCTGCAAAGCATTAAATTCAAGTGGCATCTGCAGGCTGGCCTGCACTTCTGTAGGTACGACACAGTTCAGGAATTATATTTAGAAGCAACCTCTGTGGCCCAAGGGGTAAAATCAGAATGCTGTCCAGCCGCAGTGGCTGCCTCACCTGCGCATTCACTGACACAAAGTGCCCAGTTCCATTGTCCCCAGCATCAGTACACTCATCAGCCTGGACTGCCTGTGTGGTGACTCAGTGTTCCTAACAGTTGTGCCTCGGTGTCCCTGCTAATTCATTAATCCCCCTCGTTACAGTGCCAGCTGAAAGAGGAGCGTGTGCTGCCTCTGGAACTCAGCTCTCCTAGAAGCTCACAGCAAGCAGCCTCGGCAGCAAACGGGGTCCACTCTTCGATACTAAGGGCTTCTTAGTCTACCACATGCTCAACCATGGAAAGAGAAGCTTTTGGTGCCGACTCCTTACTGAAGTGGTGGCCTTCTGCTTGATTTTCATGCTTGCGTTTTCCTTTTCTTTAGAAAACATGGAAGCCTCATCTCTTAGAACAGGTTGCTCAGTCTGCACGAGGCAAAGCAGTTCTGGAGGTTTCATGGCTTCCTCAGGTGGCTAGTAATGACTTTATACAAAATAGTGTTGCTGTCAGGGCTCACAGAAGAATAGATTTAACACAGGACACAGACTTTATAGAACCATTTTATAATATTTATCCATAAAGTCAAATGCAGAAGAGTGCAAATGATCTCTCCAGCACTAGACTCAAATAACCCAGCTGGGGGCTTGGATCCCAAAGCAATGTCCTGCACAAGTCCCGCTGAAGACCATGAGTCTGTGGCAATGCTCCCCATGAGCCCAGCTGGAGGCCTAGAGCTCACAGCAACGTCTCATGCAAGTCTGTACCAAGGATCTGCGCCGGAAAGGCCCAAAGGTCAGTGATGGAAGCTAGAAAGTCTGCATCAGTGGGGTGAAGGCTCTGTGCTAGCAGCTGAGGGATCTGCACTGGAGTTAGGAAGAGATGCTCAAGGTTAGGACCAGAGCTTCCCTGAAAAGAACCATGGCAGCCATCCTCAGCGACAGCCAGGTCCTGAGCTCCTCCAATGGGAACAACTGAGTTCATATCAGGAGCCAGAGTGACACTCTTCTTCAGGAGAGTCAACAGTGCACTGTCTTCCCTGCAGTTCTCTTCTTATGCTGTTGATAACAGTCCTCAAGTGAGCCCTCCTGATGCAGCACTGAGCTGAGTCAGTGCAGCTAGGTGTCCGAGTTGCCCAGTAGCTCATCCACCACAAGCAAGCCTGGAGAAGGCTGAATCTGTTAACTCAAACAGGACTCTTTTAAATGCAGTTTTCTTCTTGTTGGCAGTCCTAGAGTCTTCTGCTCTCTCACCATTGGTCTTCCCTCCTTTCTAAAGCAGCTCTCTTCTGAGGTTTGTGACTGAGATGAGTGCATAATGCAAGGGAAAGGCACAGACCGAAGTGGTAAATAAAATGATGAGTGGCCACGCATGGACTAGACTCAGTGTCCAAGTCTGACTTCAAGCCCCCACCAGGAGCAGCTGGGCATCACTCTCTTGCCACTACAAAGCCTCCAACCAGATACAGCTTAATTGTCATGAGCTGCTCACTGAGATGACTTTGATGTGAGCATGCATAATTGATTCATTATGGTTTCTGTGCAATCAAACCTCTTTGCTAGTGTTTATCTGTGTTTGAAGCTGCTCCCCTGCACTAGCATCACTACCTCAACTCCACGTCAGATCATCAGGGATTAGATTTTCACAGGGAAGCACAACCCAGATCCTTCTCATGTGCAGTCCACTGTAAGGCATGAGCTCCTGTTGGGAGCCGCTGAGGCCTGTAGGAAAGAGCGAAGGAGCTAAATTACCCCTCCCATCGAGTGAGCCAAGTTGGCGCCTGCTTCCTGCCCCCTGATTGCCCTGGCGACTTAAACAGCCCGCGCAATAGATTGGTCTACCTAGCAACCAATGACGATGACCAATCAGCTTGCATTGCTTGCTGTTGCCCTATTGGATGATGAGTCCATATATATATGTATGTGACCCTCCCTGCGGGAGGAGATAGAGAGATAGAGAAAGTCCACCGGCGAGAAAGGGCTGGTGGCAGAACAGAGGCCTCGCGGGGCCCACGCGGAGACAAATAAAGACAAGGTTGCACACCGTCAGAATCTGTCGTGTGTTTTTCCTGCCGGCCGGGAGCGACACCGACATCTGGTGGCCCGTACGGGGATCTGATCACTCCCCTCGGTGGTGTGCAACGCTCCAGCGTGGTGCTGCCGGACAGGTGAGTAGGGGATAAGCCTGGGCTCTGGGTGGTGCGCACCTACAGGGCTTTTAGACTCCCCTCAGGCTCACGCGTAGGTGACGGGTTCTCTAAGTCACACGCGATGAGTTACAGCCCTTAGAGGTTAAAGATGGGTAATTTACCGAGCGCGGAGGCGCGGCCCTTGGTAAAGGCCCTTAGAAAGCTTTTAAAAGCTAGAGACCTCAGGGTAGGTCAAAAAACACTGGAACTATTCATAGCAGAGATAGATAGGGTGGCTCCCTGGTTTTTACCCACAGGGCATTTAAACCTGCCGTCACGGGAGAAGTTAGGCGGGGACCTCGCCTCGGCGGAATTGGGAGGCGATATTTCGCCGGCTATTCGCCCCCTGTGGGAAATGATACATGCGTGCCTTGAAGGGGAGGGGAAGGGGTTCCCGTCGGCAGTTAGAGACGCGGAAATCATGGACGCACGCAAGGCTTTTGAGCAGGCAAAATCGGAATGCTCTCGGGAGGGATCTGTCCAGGGGGAGAAAATCCAGGGAAAGATAGAGGACACCCAAGCTCTGGAGTCCTCCGACTCAGATAGCGAGGAGGAACCAGAAGGTGGGGCAGGAAGCCGAGAGGCCCGGAACCCCTATGCCGAGTTACGCCGCAAATTGTGTGCGTGCGCCGCTCGAAAAAAGCAGAGAGAGGAGAAAGGACCCCCGAGTGCCCCCTGGCGGGGAGGAGATAGAGAGCCATCCGCTCCGCCCTGGAGTTCTTTTCCAGAAGCGGTTCCCCGTCGAGAGGCCGCTACAGGGGACCCTCCCTTCTCTCAGCCGGCGCAGGAAGTGACGCCCCGTTCCACTCTGTCGCGACCGCCATCCTATGACGTCGCGCCGCGGGGCGGACGATATTTTCATGGGCGGTTATGGAGGGGTGAACGATGGCCCGGAGGGGATCGATCGATGCAAAAAATAGATTACGGCCCTTATGGAGTATATCCTGTGCAAATGGCCCCAGGCCAAGGGCGCAATGTTTGGGAACCGTTTGAAATAAAACAGATTAGAGAATTAAAAAGCGCTGTCACGACCTTCGGGCCCACAGCACCCTATACCATAGCTATGCTAAAAAACTTGTCTTCTGGGCCGCTCACCCCAGCGGACTGGACCCAGTTGGCAAAAGCATGTCTACCCTCAGGCAGCTACTTAGACTGGCGAGCATGGTACGCAGAGTTCTCTGCCGAGCAGGCTAAGAGAAATGCCGGTCGAGGAAACAGGGGCTGGAGATTTAGCTTAGCGGCACAAGCGCCTGCCTTGTAAGCAGGCAATCGCGAGTTCGATCCCTGGTACCGATAAAAAAAAAAAATAAAATAAAAATAAAAAAAAAATAAAAAATAAAAAATAAAAAACAAAAAGGGGGAGTAAGCCAAGGCCTGCCTCCAAAGGCGCGGTTATCTATGGCATTACAATGGATGGGCCCGGATCCGGTGGTTAGCTGGAACCGAGGCGCGGTTTGTGTTTTTCCGCAGGAACCGGGACGAGAACCACTGTGGGTCCCAGAGAGGCTGACACATGCGACAAGTCCCTCGACTGAAGATCAGGCCTGTTCCACCAGAGGCCAACCGCAGACCCAACAACAAGATGAGCCCTAAAAGAACTGCAGGACAATCCCTTTTTGGGGGCCTGGAACGGCTTGCTCCCCTATATTTTACCATTGTTAGGTCCCCTGTGCTCCTTGCTTCTGCTCTTACTTGTAGGACCATTCTTGCTCCGATGGGTTACATCATTTATTAATGGGCGCCTTGCGGCGGCCCGGCGTCAAGTACGCCTGGTTGCCCATGCGGCCCTGGCAGCAGCCCGTGATGGGCACAATGACCCCCAGGCCTACGCATGGCTCGCTCGACTGGCCTACGACTGGGTCTAGATGTGGCGGGTCTTCCACACTCCTTCCCTATTGACACCACACAGCAGGGTAGGTGAGTCAACGACAGGTAAGAGCGTGCCTCCCCAGCACGACGCGACCTAAGCCAGGCCCTACCCCATACTGCACGAAAGCCGCTGGATTACTAGAATCTGCCCAGATCTAGATGCCTCTCCGAGGGGATCACACGGAGGGGCATGAGTGCATGCCTATGTGCATCCAGGTTCCGTCCAGTTCACTCCTGGCCCTAAAAAAAAGGACGAGGGTCTCAAGGCCTTGGTGGACCCGGGGACGGCCGACCAGGGTCCAAGCCAAGGGCCTACGGTGGGCCTCAACACAGGGCATAAGCCTCTGCACTCGATCCAGGGCAGGCTGCGATGCATACATTCATTCAAAATAAATAAAATAGGGGGAGATGTTGGGAGCCGCTGAGGCCTGTAGGAAAGAGCGAAGCCTGAGCTAAATTACCCCTCCCATCGAGTGAGCCAAGTTGGCGCCTGCTTCCTGCCCCCTGATTGCCCTGGCGACTTAAACAGCCCGCGCAATAGATTGGTCTACCTAGCAACCAATGACGATGACCAATCAGCTTGCATTGCTTGCTGTTGCCCTATTGGATGATGAGTCCATATATATATGTATGTGACCCTCCCTGCGGGAGGAGATAGAGAGATAGAGAAAGTCCACCGGCGAGAAAGGGCTGGTGGCAGAACAGAGGCCTCGCGGGGCCCACGCGGAGACAAATAAAGACAAGGTTGCACACCGTCAGAATCTGTCGTGTGTTTTTCCTGCCGGCCGGGAGCGACACCGACAAGCTCCTACAAGAATCTAATGCCACTGCTGACCTGAAGGAGGAGGAGCTCAAGTGGGATGCCAGCAGTGGGGAGTGGCTATAAATGCAGATGAAGCCTTACTGGATTAACCGTCACTCAGTTCCTGTTGTAGCCTGGATCGTAACAGGCCACCAACCAATACTGAGAGGTCGGGGACCCCGCTCTGTGGGTGTGGATGGGAGGGAAAGTTTGGTGCTTCAGGGGATCTCGTGTCTTCAGTTTTCAGAGCAGGCGAAGGAGGAGATTGAGCTACTTGCCTTGCTCCAGAGTCTAGAGACCTGTGACCAGGAGACGTGTCCTCTGACCGCATCCCCCTGCAGTGTACAGTGGGGCAGGGTCCCAGGGAGGCCTCTGGGGAGCAGACACTGCAGAGAGGGAAAACCATCAGTGTGAGGGTGCTCACTGGGGAGCCAGGCTGTGGAGGAACAGAAAGCAGACAGGGTGGGATGTCCATCCCATGGCCTCGGGGGCTGTGCAAGAGTTATGTCATGGAGGTGGCCAGCTGAGGAGACCCTGAGACCCAGATGGCTGGACCTTTGCACTCTGCTTCCTGCTGCCCCTGGATGGGAGCTCCTGAGGTGGGAAGGCTTGGGGGCTGCAGGGCTGTGGCAGCCACAGAGCATGGTCCAAGGGGGCCCCTGTCCCTTGAACATCTGTCAGTTACAGTCCAGCACAGGGCACCGCACAGAGTCTAGCACCACAGGGTGACCAGAGGAGAGTTCCCTTTCCTTTGAGAGCTTCAGTGAGGGCCAGGGACAGGGGATGGACTTTCAGAATCCTGGATTCCTTCTCCACTGGAAAACCACTGATAGAGGAAAAGGGCTTTTTCTCTCTGTCATGCCTGTTCCCAAATCAGAAGGTGATGGAAAACCAAGACAGCAAGTTCGCACTGGGCCTGAGGGTGCTGCGCAGCAGGAGGGAGGTGAAGCCGAGGACACTGGCCTGGACACTCTGGGGACACGTCACTCTGATTGCTGACTATAGTGGTAGGTTATGAAAGGGGCCCAGATCTCCACCTGCCCATTTCTGGAGCCTTCTGTCAACCACTTCCGCATCCTCTGCTGGCTGACTATGACTTGTTGGCTGATGTAACATCAGCAACTGTGATGCAAGCAGAGGCCAGACTTTCGTGCAGGACTGCCCTCAGCCTGTCTGCGCTGTATCGGCTAAGAGCATGTGCCGAGCAGACCTTGTGGAGGACAAGGGAGTAAAGTTGGGTCAGTGGCAGCCCAGCTGGGGCCACCCTACATGAGCCAGCTCTGGAAAACTGAGGTCAGCGAGGCCATCTGGCTACAGGACACCCAGTGAGCTTAGCCAAATGCAACCTGGGGTCACTGGAACCTCGTTGGACCCTGAATAAGTGTGTTTCCTAAGTTCTTGGGTTTGCCTGTTATGCAGCACTGAGACAATGGTAGTTGACACATTGGCTTAGCTCTCTCAGCAGGTGCTCATCAAGGACAAGGCCGAGGGCAGCATCAGTGTCAGGTGAGGCTCCTGAAGAGGATGCACCTGGCTGCAGGGCAGCCCTGGGTACCTGGCCCTGGGCTTGCTGCACGGCCTGCAGCCATCACCTGCACATAGGTGAATTCCATCAGCCCTGAGATGAGTATCAAGCTAAAGAGGACTTGGACCCTGGCTCACCTGACCTCAAGCTGGAAATGACCTGGTTCAAGGGCATTCCATCCTTGAATTCATTTCACAAATTCTGAGCATCAGGTGACAATTCTCCTTTTGATTAGAGGTTTATTTTTTCAAGAAGCCAAGAGAAAAAGGCACAGAAAGAGGCTGACTTCTGAAGTGCCAGGGTCTCTTTCCCGTTACAAATGCACATGTGTTTACGTTCATTGTGACGGACTTGTTGTTGGGTTTGCCAAGTTTGCTACGTGCTTCTCTATTTAAAAGGCCTGGGAAAGGTGGTTTTAATAAAGCTTTCTAATGCAATAGAACATGCAACAATAACATCCTGTTTGGAGTCTCTGGAAAGAGCGTTTCTTTTGGAATTTTTTTTTTTCAAAAACTGTATGCAACTCTTTCAGGCAGAAGATGGAGAGGCAGGTCACTGCTCCCTGGGTTCACACTTGTCCCTGATGTAGCCGATAGATAACATTACCAAGGGACTCAGAGCCATCCTGATGAGCTGTCCCGAAGCCTGGTGACCCAGGCTGCAGGGCTCTCATTTCTTCATGGGCCCCAGTGGCTAGCATGGGCACAGGAAATCTACGTGTGTGTGTGTGTGTGTGTGTGTGTGTGTGTGTGTGTGTGAGAGAGAGAGAGAGAGAGAGAGAGAGAGAGAGAGAAAGAGAGACAGACAGAGAGACAGACAAAGAGACAGAGAGACAGGACTGGTGAGCCAGGAGACCCACAGGGCTGGTCCTCACAAGGAATCCCTTAAGTCAAGCAGGCACATAACCACCCAGAAATGCAATGCCAATCTCTCTGCGCTCACACACACAGCCCTGGAAGACCATGCGCCCGTGACCTCAGTCACATCGTAAGGCTGTGTGTCACCAGGGGACTCTCTGAGCCCGCACTGCAATCTTTGTCCAAAGAGCCGCGGCTGCTGGGTTTTATTTTGTGTTTGTTTCATGGACTCTGTTGCTGCTGTGTTCACAGTGGGCGGGACCCTGGGGAGCAGGACCTGCTTTGCAGGCCTCTGCTGGAACAGCACGGACTGTGTGGGCGGCTTGGCCTGTTGCTAGAAAGGAACGGGGTCAACAAAGCTGGCATGTGGCATGAGGAGGTGAGGACAGCAAGGCCCTGGGAGTAACAGGAGAGATGCACACTGGGCTGGATGTCCTGAATCACCTCGGAGGGCACAGCTGCAGAGCAGAAGCTCATTTGCTTACAGAACTGGAGTAAAACAGCATAGGTTTCGAGAGAGCCCCAGCTTGCAGACTGGGTCTGTGCTGCCAGCCCGGAGGTGTGAGATGGAGGACTCTGTCCAGGGCTGTGTGCCATCCCGGGGTTCCCATTCCTCCCCTTCACCCTACCTGTCTAGCCCATGCGGTCAGAGGCAAGCGACACAGGCCTCCTTCCCGAGAGGGCACCGAATCCTTTTACCCAGCGCTAAGAGAGACTCAGTAGAGATGAGGTGGTCCCAGCCTTGCGGCTGAACCTTGCTTTGTGATCCATTGCTGTGGGGTCCGGGCTGGAGTTGTGATGTGGTCTCTGTAGGTGCAGTTGGTCCTCGTAGTCAGGACACCTCCCCCACATTGCAGGGTCATCTACTCACCTGAATCACACAATTGCAGGTGCTGACCACCCCATCCAGTGCCCCCAACACCCCAAAGATCGGTGCTGGACCCTGGCACGTGGTCCCACAGGTGAGTGCACAGTGCAGGTGGACACTGACCCCGCACACCAAGCCGAGTGCCTGGGCTCTCTTGGGGGTGCACAGGCTGCCCCTTGTCCTCAGCTGCAACCCAAGCCCATTGGAGGATGTGGGGGGGATGGTGCCCTTGTCTTCCTCTGCTCAGCCCTTTGACCCCTTTCTGTCTCCTGGGATTATTTCCAAGCTCTTCTATGGCAACATCTTTCCCAGGAGAAAGCCGTTTCCATCGCTAGCTGACACGTTTCACAATAATGTTTATGTCCATGCAGGAATGGACTCTACTGTATTCTGTTTCACTTCTTAAGAATTGTTTTTCACTTCTTAAGAATTGTTTTTCACTTCTTAAGAATTGCTTTTATCAGCAGAGTTTTGCAGTGTACGATGACCAAGCTCACTGTGTGGAGTTGGAACATGCGCCTGACACCTCTTAATTCTTCCTGTGTTCCCTCCCTTTCCCTCCACCCCAGGTCCCATCCCTTCTGCAGAGATTTATCTCCCTGCTTCATTTTTAAAAAGGTTTTACAGCCCCCTAAAATGGTATCTTGATCCAACAATGAACTGCAAACCACACTTTGAAATTTATTGTTCTACTCCCCGGGCACTGCAGGCAGCCACCCTGCTCACCCTGGGCCCATCTGGAGAATATGTTTTATCTTTGCGTTGCTTGTCCTGTTAGTAAGCAGAGTGGCCTTCCTTGTCCCGGGCCCTGGGTCCCCTGAGCTCTCAGCTCAGGTCTCCCCCAGGGGAACTTGTGCAGTGTGTCCCTCAAACCATGCTGCTTGTTTCCTTGGTGAAGCAGAGCTCAGATGTGACAGGAGTGCTGCAGGAAGCTTGGACAGCACAGTCACGACCAGATTCGTGATCCAGGCCTTGACCCTAGTCATGGCTGCCCACCCTGGCAACCTACATCTCCCCTGGGACTCTGGAGGGAGTGCTGGGTGCTGAAACTCAGTGCAGGCATCCATGATGCTTGGTCTTGTACCAAGCCATCCCGGGAGAGGACGCTCAGGGGAGGTCACTGGCCCAGAGGGGGAGGTGCTGAGCAGGGACCTGCCAGTGTCAGGCAGCTGAGCCCTTGGCCGTAGTCGGCTTGGGGCTGGGGATTGAGCTCAGCGGCATAAGCGCCTGCCTTGCAAGCAGGCAGTTGTGAGTTTGATCCCTGGTACTGATAAAAATAAAAAAAAAAAAAAAAAAAAAGAAAGAAATAAGAGGGACTTCAGCCCCGAAAAGCCACTCGAAGTCTGCAAGAAAACTGACGCTAGGATTCTGAGGCTTGGGTGTGGTTTCAAAAGGCAAGGGATTCGGCAGAAAAGAACCAGCATGGGACCTCAGGGCCTGAGTGGATTCAACACGCTTCCAGTCCTTTTCATTTTGAATTTGGGAGGAGCCAGGTATCATGCGGTGCCTGATCCCACAACTGAGGTGGATGGGGACTCAGCATCTGTTTTCAGTCTCCTGCCTTGCTAATGGACGTGCTGGGCTGTATCTTCCTCATACCTGGTGCAGACCCTTAGGAAAGAGGACTCCAGAGCTGCTGCAGGGAGTGGGGAGACCATGGGTTGGTGTGGTCCCAGTGAGGGAGGACCTTGAGAGGGACTCATGGCTGT